GAGGTAGAGCCCCTCCAGCCGGCGGAACGTGCCCAGCTTGCCGCGAGCCGCCATCGCCTCTGCGCCCGCGTCCCCTATCTGGTTCCACGCGAGGGCGAGGAACTGCAGCCTCGGCAGCGCCCCCTCCGCCACCGGGCCGGCGAGGCGCGCGGCGCCCGCACAGCCGATCCGGTTGGCGCTGAGGGTGAGGCGCGAGACGCAGCGGAGGACCGCGGCCGGGTCAGCAGAGAGGGCGTCGGCGAGCGCGGCGCAAAACGCGTCGCCGAGAGAATTGTTGCCAAGGTCGAGGAAGGCGAGCTTGGGCAGCGCGCCGCCGCGCAGGGCGGAGCAGATCGGCCGCCAGTCGCGCCCGTCGGCCGCCCGTTCGATTCGCAGCTCCTCGAGGCCGTCGAGGGAGCGGCGGCCGATCAGGTGAGCCAGCGTCGCGCAGTTGCTCGCATCCGCAACGACGGCGTCCCCAAAGACGAGGCCCGTGGCCAGCCGCAGCTGCTGCGTGCTCGTGAGGTCGTCGCAGCTTTGGCCGCCGCGAAGAGAGGGTGCGCCGCTGTGCGCCTCCTTGAGGAGCACGCCAGCGCGCGCGCGCCACCGCCTCGCCTCGGCGAGGACCGGCGCCACCGCGCGCCTCACCGAGCGGCACGTGGAGGCGAACGCGAGCGCCGCCTCCGGAGAGAGCGGGTCGCCGGCGAGCACGCGGCAGACCGCAGCGACCATGTCGTCCTGCAGCCCCGCGATGCTTGTTTCGACGGCCGAGATGCTGCAGTTCGCCGCGAGACGATTTGCAAGGAGGCTCGCAGCCGTCCCGGAGCTCGTTGTGGGCATCGCGTCTGCCGCTGGCGAGGTACTCCCACGCCTCTCGGCCGAGTCAACCCGAGCCAGCAGAGCCGCCCATAGTGAAAAGAAAAATATATATATATATATCACGCCTCCGCCGCCTTCCATCTCGCCCACGCCTCCGCCGCCCTCCACCTCTCCCATGCCGCCCCCCCCGCCCTCCACCTCGCCCACCCCTTTGCCACCACCCTCTCCTTCGCCGCCCCTCGCCCCCACCGTCCTCCACCTCCACCCCTCGCCCTCCCCCCCGCCCTACCGAACCACCCGCCGCCCGCCCATGCCGACTTCCGCCCTCCCGCCGCCCTCCCCCCTTTCTGCCCCTCCGCCTTCGCCATCCCCCATCTGTGCATTCCACTCCGTTCGCTCCCTCCCGCTTGGCGCCCATCCCACCCTCCGCCCGCCCTCCCCCCTTCCTGCCCCTCCGCCTTCGCTATCCCCCATCTGTGCGTTCCACTCCGTCCGCTCCCTCCCGCTTGGCGCCCATCCCGCCCTCCGCCCTCGCTCTCCGCCCCTGCCCTGGCTGGCCTGGGTGGCATCTCCCCATTATCACGCGCCAAGTGGGAGGGAGGTGGACGGGGCCCTGAGCCGACCTAGCCCTAAACGGAATGGGGCGCCCAACACGTGCCCGGATTACTGTGCCTTCCCCGGGTGCAGCCTTTCGGCTCGTGAAGGGTCGGTGCGTGTCGTGATCCCCTGGAACACCCGTACTCTCCCGCGCCATCTCCGTCGCCCTCTTCGGCTGCGGCCTTACCACCAAGATCGGGAGGCGGCCAGGGCTCATAGACATTAGACTCGGTCGAGAGACCCCAGATTGGCATCCATGCCTCTCTGGACAGGGTGGCCCGCCACAACGACCCCTGGAATTGCGACTCGCCGCTTTCCTCCCGCTGTGATTCTGTGTGAGCTCTGTGTCTTGATTTGCCAACAATATACCTATGGTCCGACACATCTAAAGTGGAAGGGTGGGGTAGGGGAGAAGTACTCTTGAGGGAAACATTGGACCGTCAGGCCCCGGGGACTGGCCAGCCCGACTGACACAACCTTCAGGAACACCATTTTGCGGTCCTGAGCGGCCGTCTTGGAGCAGAAGCTTCCCTGCCTCCTTAGCCATGTTGCGGTGCCCTCGCGCCATCTGGTCCTCGCACTGCTCGCAAGTATAGAGCCCATGGTAGGCCAGAGGGGTCAGATGAAAATATGCCCGGAACAACCACAAAGCGCACTGCAATGACTGTACTAATGCCGGGGATCACACTGCTATACTCCTTATCCTCCAGACATGTCTCTGACTAAAGATACACGAGCACGAAGTCGCGAAATTTCGCGCTCTGGCAGCGGCCGCGCAGTGTGAGCACCCCCTGCCGTGACCCCACCGTGGCGCACCGCCCACTACGAGGTGTCAGCCCGTGCGCGCTTTGCCGCGCGTGCCGCCGCGCCGCGCCGCGCCAGCTCCGGCTTGGCGAAGCGCCAGCCGAGGTGCTTCTCCTTGCGCCACGAGTCCTCCACCAAGACGGTCCAGGTGAACGACTCATCCTCGTCGTAGCGGCTGTCCTTCGGCCACTTGATGCGCACCGCGCCCCACGCAAGGACCGTCTTGCACTGCGGCGTGCGCTTCGTAGTCGTGCCGTCGGCAATCTCGACCACCTCGCCCTCCGCCCAGATGTAGTGGGTCTTGTAGCCGCGCTTCTTCGCCTGGTCCGGCACGCGATACGGCCAGCGCACCTCGAGGTGGACGTTGAGCAAGCTGGCAAAATCTGGAGGGCGCTCGGGCTGCGCGTCGGCGACGTGGTCGATCTCGCCCGCCTCCTCCAGCCGGTCGCGCTCGTCCTCGGCCGCCTCGCGCAGCTCATCGGGCGTGAGCTCCTCGCGCGCCGCCATCAGCACCTCGGCCTGCGCAGTGGGCGTGCCGAGCTGCTTGAAGGTCTTACGCCTGACGACGGGCGGCGGCGCCACGTCGGGGAGCTCGTCCCTCTCGCGCAGGTCGCGCTCGTGCTCGATCAGCTCCTTGAGGTGGCCCGTGAGCTCCTCGACGGTGCCGACGTACTCGTCCGTGCTGGAAGACCAGCGCGCCGCGAACTCGACCCACTGCAACCCGCGCGTGCGCATCTCGATCTGCTCTCGCAGCCAATCCAGCTTGGCCTGATTAGCCGTGCAGCCCGATCGGCAGGCCGGGGCGCGGCACGCGCAGATGCTCCGCAGGCCCGCGTTCAGCTGCGTGACGGATCGCACGCCCCGCTCCTGCCAGCGCTCAAAGAAGGACATGCCGTACGCCCACTCCGTGACCAGCGCCTTCAGCTCCTCCTGCGACGCCGTCTTGGCCTTCGCCTTAACATACGCGGCGTACTGGGCGTTATCCGCGCGGTCGACGGCGCGCGACGGGCGCTGCGCCAGGCGAGCCCACTCCACCAGAGCGTGTTGCTCTTGCCACGGTAGCTCGTGAAAGTAGCCCAGCGACGCGTCGGGCGACGGCGCGTCGAGCGCCTTGCGGTGGCGCACCGCGTCGCCCGTCGCAAACGACTTCATCCGCGCCGCGTGTGCGAGCGCAGACGCCGCCTCGCGCGAGCAGCCCTCGTTCCGCTTGAGCGAGCGGTCAAAGGTGCCGAAGACCGACTCCGAGAAGCGGTCGTTGGTGTTCTCGCAGCCGATGGTGTCGGCGTGCGCGCGGCCGACCTTGGCGGCACAGAGCGCGCCGTCTTGCGACGTTAAATAGGAGGGGAGAACTGTGCGCTCGTCGTGCATCTTCCGCAAGCCTGCCCGCGCCTGCACCTGCAAGTACTCGATCGTGGTAGCACGCGTCCGCATACGCGTCTCGTCCGTCGGCTCGAGGATGGCGCGGCGCGCGAGCTGGTAGACCAGGTGCCGCGTGCTGCCGTCGGGCGACATCACCGTCTCCTCCTCATACGTGTACTTGAGGTAGGCGGCGAACGCGGGCTGCGTGTCCGCGATCGGCTTCCAGAAGGTGTCCCACGTGCGGGGGTTGAGCAGCACCGAGCCGTCGGACGCGGCGCGAGTGTAGAGCTCCTCGACGCGCTCGAGCACCTGGTCGCCCATAGAGTACGGCGACCAGTTGATCAGCTTGGAGCCGTTTCCGGCGAGCCAGCGCCACGGCCGCGCGATCAGGAGGTCGATGGCAGCGTTAGCGCGCATCATCGCCACGTACTCCATGGCACAGTGCGTCACGTAGATGAAGTCCTCAAGCGTGTTCGAGTGCGACTTGGAGAAGACGCGCGGGTGCAGCCAGGCGATCACGAACAACACGTTGACGTACATGGGCACGGAAGCGTCATAGTCGAGGTCCTGTCGCCCGCCCTCGGCGCGCTCGAACAGCATCATGAAAGCCTTCGGGTGGGCGTCGCGCATGGCCTCGGCGAACTCCTTCCCCTTCCCCTTGTGGTAGCGGCCGCCGTGGTGCACGGCTTCGGAGGCCCCTTAGCCCTAGCCGGAGCTAAGGGAGCCGGCTTTTTCGGCGCTAACCCTAGGAGAAACCGCTCCGGAATAGGGTTACCGGCACCATCGGGCGGCGCCATGCGGATGGAGGGAGTCGGGTCTGCCATCGGCGGGCCGTCAGGGCGCTGAGAAGTCAAGGACGACTTTTTAGCTCCACTTTCGGCGTGCCGGAGTATACAAGTGCCGTGCGAGAGAGTTTTGTTGTAAAATTGTTGTGAAGCTTATTTTTTTGTTTCTGCATTCTTTTCGCGCGATAAGAGGGCTCCCGCGGCGATCAACACCGCAACTCCTTTTCTACCGAAGACGAGACGCGGCACGTACACAGTACGCGGCAGCGCCGACACGTCAACCCGCGTGTACGTCAGCGACGGGTCGCGCACGCCGCACGAGGCGCATGCGTGCAGCGGCAGCGCGTGCGCCATGCGCTCGTCGCTCCACTCGCCCAGCAGCCGCCGCTTCGTCTCGTCGGAGACGTGCACGCAGCGCTGCAGCAGCGCCGCCGTCTCGTCCTCGGGCCGCTCCAGGTCCATGACGACGTTCGTCGAGGCGTGGAAGCGCGTCTCCAGGTCGATGGCCGCCTGCTCGGCCGCGGCGAGCTTGCCCTGGTCGACGCACATGCCGCACACCGCGTGCGCCGGGCAGCCGCACTGGCCGCGTTGTGGGCGCACGGTCTTGGCGACCGCCGGCGCTGCGCGCCGGTCGTGCTGCTCACGCTGCCGGCGGCGCTGGTCGCGCGCCTGCCGATCGCGCGTGTTCGCGGCGGCTGCATCTCCTGCTCGTTTCGCTCGCACCCGAGTGGCGGTCGCCAGGCGCTTCAGGTCGGCGGTGCTGCGCGCGCGGCCGTCGGCTCTGCACAGCCACATGTCCTCCTCCTCGGCAGGCTCGCACGGCTTGCCGTCGAACTGCGGCGGGAACCCGCGACGACGCTTCGCCCAGGCCGGGCACGATGGTGCCGCGACGAGCGGCGTCGAGGCGACGGCCATCGATGGGTCCAGAAGACTTGGAGACACTTCTAAACCAAAAAATAAAAAAAAGCGAGCACAAGTGCGTTACATGGGCATGGCCGGCGTTTCTGCACCGAACGATCTTACTTTCGGTGTATCGAAAGTGTTGATCAAGAAAATTCTTTTTTCGTTGATGGTTTTCGGTCACTTGTGTTTCACGTGTGGGTATGAGACTCGCCCTGTTCTGGCTCGCAGTCTCTTCGCGAGCGCGCTACGACCCTGGCAAGCCCCAAGAGCATGATGGTCGCGTGCCAAGCCGCCGCCCGTCGGACCGAGAGGTGGCCGACTCTGGCGTTCGGCGTGAGGAGGCGGAGCGAATGCCTTGGTTCCCGTCGCACTCGACAGTCTGCGACGGTCGACCTTGCGCGCCAGGAGAGGGCAACCTGCAGCACGTGCGGGAGGACACGCCACGCGGCTGGCGCTACAAGCAGTGGACGCAGCCATATATCCACCGCGAGGCGTGGGTGCAAGCGCGGTCGCGCGATGTGCCGCACTCGCCCGACGAAGTGGCGGTGTACGGAGACGCGGTCGCCCTCGCGAAGAGGACGGCACTCGACGGGCGTGTCGTCGTCACCAGCGGTGACTGGGACTACCGCGAGCTTGTGCTCAACTTTGTGCTGCACGCACACAAGCTGGCGTACCACAACACTCTGGTCCTCTCGATGGAGGCCGAGCTGCACTCTGACCTCACCGCGCGCGCCATCCCCTCGGCCGACCTGTCTCGCTCTCTGGCCGCGTGGAACGAGACGTGCTTGCAGAGGCACATCCAGGCGACACACACACACACACACACACACACACACACACACACACACACACACACACACACACACACACACACACACACACACACACACACACACACACACACGCACGCACGCACGCACACCTCACAACACCCTCACGGGCCTTGCACTTTGAACGCCGTGCGGCTCCAGTGTCTTAGACGTGGACGGCTGCCTGGCCCTTGCCCTACCACCCTTTGTGCGCGTGGAGAGGCCTGCCTTCCCTGACCTCACCTAAAAAATCCAGGCGGCGCGGACAGAGCGGCACGTCGCCGTGGCGGCGATGCTGGCGGCCGGGATCGACGTGCTCCTGTGCGACGCGACGGTCGTGCTGCTCCGGCCAGTGGTCGCCGAGCTGGCGGCGATCCCCGCTGACCTACTCGTGCAGCGCGACGCGTGGCCAGAGGACCCGGTGCGCAAGGTCGGCGTCGCGGCCAACGCCGGCTTCTACTACGCGCACGGCACGGCCGCCGTCAGCGAGTTCGTGCTGTCGGCGGTGCGGCGCGGGCTGATCGAGTTTTACCTGCGCTGGAACAACATCGGCGACCAGTACGGCCTCTCCTTTGTGATGGCGGACGCAAAGATGGACGCAAAGGCGGACGGAGGGGCGGGAGGGGCGGGAGGAGGCCGGAAGGGCGGGCGTGGCCGCTCGAGCCCGACCGCCAACGAGACCACTCTGGCCACCTTCCACCCAAGCGGGTCGCACTGCAAGCAGCGGGGCAACTGCCTGCGCCTCGGCTGGCTGCCCTACGACCGGTTCCCTCGCACCGGCAGCTGGGACGGGCTCCAGCCGTCGGCCGCCATCTACCACCTCACGCACGGCTGCATGCAGGAGGCGGCGCCGTGCAGCGTGCCCGGCTCGCGCCCGTTTCGGGGCCACCGGCAGCGGCAGGACCGGTACGAGAAGGTGGACTTCGACGACATGAGGTCGACGCTGCGCGCCCTCGGCATGTGGCTCGTCGACGCGACGCCCTCGTACCGCTACCGCCGCCCGCCCCTACCCCTCAGGCCTGAGCTTTGACCTTGTGGCGTGCGTGTACCGTTGTTGTGTGTGTTGAGGGGTGAAGGAGTGTTTCTTTAAGCGCGCGGAGACGGAGAAGGAGGAGGAGGCGCGGCGCTCCTCGCACGCGTACTCTCTGGTTGGCGCAGCGCGAGGCGGACGCGGAGCCGTGGCGAGAGCAGAGAGCGGATGCACGGCGGGGGGGCGACGCGGCGACGGGTCGTCGGGTGGAATGGAGGTGCGCAGGCAGATCCCAGATGTTTGGGCTGCCCTCGTGACGTTTTGAGATGGCGCGCGGCGGAACGCTATGACTGGATGCGTGTGCGGGCCTGGGAGTCGGGCGGTCCATCGCCACGTCGTCTCGTCTCATCGCAGCCGTGAATTAGTCAGTCGAATCCATTTTTTTCTCTGGCGTGGTGCGCAACACACGTTCCCTGTGTAGAGAGTGGTGCTCACGCGAAAGGGAGTCGACGCGATGTGCAAAGCATACAAGGAGGGGAGAAAGAAGAGGAGAGACGCCAGTGATGACGAAGCAGAGACTAGCGCAGACGAGAGCTGGGCAGACCCGAGGACGGGGGAGTCGGAGCAGACCGCCAAGTAGCGCCACAGACACGGCATCGGCCGCCGAGGGAACGTTGGGAAGAGGCACGAGGAGGGCGGCGACCTAACCGACTGTGGAGGACCCGTCGCCAGCCGACGTAGGGCAGACGACGTAGGTGGCAGACGACGGGGGAGAAACGAGAATTGGGGCAGACGCGCAGGGCGAGACGAGGGTGGAGGGAAGGAGAGCAGGACTTATTGCGGAGACCAGCAAGAGGATGTACGAAGAGATTAGGAGCAGCAGGGACCCGAGGGACCATGTGGAAGACGGCTAGTGCTAGTCCCCCATCGTGAGGACGACCCCGGCTAGTCGCCGACCACACCCACAAGCCACAAAGAACCCGGCTTTACGTTCTGTGTACAGTGCACAGTTCCTCTAGATGCATCCTACATATTCCTAACTAAACCGCGTAGAGCGAAGCAGTCTCGAACAAAGAAACAGCAGTATACCACGTCCTAGTACCCTGCACGCGCGCGCAAGGCGTGCGGACAGCAGAGAAGTTTCCCCCGTCGGACCTCTGCTTGGCGCGGACGGACTGACCACCGACGAGACGGAGTCTTCCGTCGCCGCTGTCGTCGGCGTCGGCGTCGGCGCTGCCGTCCTCATCGGCGCCGCCCTCGCCGCACGACGAGCGAGATTCCTAATCAGATCGAGGCTGTCGGACGGCGACAACGTGAGCACTACCGCAGGGAGCCTCACACCTCCGGCCGTCTCGAGGCAACCGAGTGACCCCGCGTCCTCGGCCTCGCCCCTCGCGCTCGAACGAGTCGAACGCGCGCGTGCGGCGCGGGCGACGACAGCATCGGGCGCCTCGCGAGCTCCATGGCCCGCGCGCCCCTGATTTGCCACCGGCGGCCTGCAAGCCAGCGCCGAGCAGCGGACGACGGCTGACCGACTGCTGACCGAGGCAGCGCCCACGGCAGCGCCCACGGCAGCGCCCACGGCAGCGCCCACGGCAGCGCCCATGGCAGCACCCACGGCAGCGCCCACGGCAACGCACACGGCTTGGCTGGCCATGTCAGCCGCGCAGGAGCCCTCCCGCGGGTCCAACCCGAAGCGCTCGACCGCTCGACAGCGCAAGTCGGAGCGAGCCGCATAGCCCTCCAGTGCTCACCGCAGGATCAGGCCTGACCGGCCCACGCTCACGGCCTGGCCTGCCTGTGGACCAGCAAACTCGTTGGCTGTACGCGAGGAAAGAGCTGCGTGGCTGGGTCGTGAGCATACACCTCACTCACGTGCGCCCTTTCCCTCAGTGGATGGCCGTCCCTGCCCTCGGGAGTAACTCGACTGTACACCCCTCCCTACTCTCTAGCTAAGGGCTCTATTCACAGCGGGGGGACAGTGGTTGTCCTGGCGGAGTCCTGACGGAGTCCTGACAGAGTCCTGACAGAGTCCTGACCGGAGCCGCCACGCTGACGGCCTATTTTGGAGGTTTTCAACTTTGAGGTATTGTAACTATCAATGTGAGGGCGATATAAATACATCCGTTCTTTGGGAGAGTGCAATCAACTCCGTATCCCGAGCCCCCCCTTGGACTTGGAGTGCCGGAAGACGGTGCGCGACTTCCACATGCCAATGTACGCATTCGAGAGCGGGATGAAGCGCCGAATGTCAGAGTGCTTGGTGATGGCGACGCGCTTGTGGCCGCGCTCGCCGGTCGTCTCAATGGCGCCGCCCTCGGGAGCGTGCCGTAGCCAGGTCACATCGCGCACAAGCCGCGGCGCGTCACGCGCCACGCGCCCAAGCAGCTCGGGCCCCCCCGCGGGTCCAACCCGAAGCGCTCGACCGCTCGACAGCGCAAGTCGGAGCGAGCCGCATAGCCCTCCAGTGCTCACCGCAGGATCAGGCCTGACCGGCCCACGCTCACGGCCTGGCCTGCCTGTGGACCAGCAAACTCGTTGGCTGTACGCGAGGAAAGAGCTGCGTGGCTGGGTCGTGAGCATACCTCTCACTCACGTGCGCCCTTTCCCTCAGTGGATGGCCGTCCCTGCCCTCGGGAGTAACTCGACTGTACACCCCTCCCTACTCTCTAGCTAAGGGCTCTATTCACAGCGGGGGGACAGTGGTTGTCCTGGCGGAGTCCTGACGGAGTCCTGACAGAGTCCTGACAGAGTCCTGACCGGAGCCGCCACGCTGACGGCCTATATTTTGGAGGTTTTCAACTTTGAGGTATTGTAACTATCAATGTGAGGGCGATATAAATACATCCGTTCTTTGGGAGAGTGCAATCAACTCCGTATCCCGAGCCCCCCCCTTGGACTTGGAGTGCCGGAAGACGGTGCGCGACTTCCACATGCCAATGTACGCATTCGAGAGCGGGATGAAGCGCCGAATGTCAGAGTGCTTGGTGATGGCGACGCGCTTGTGGCCGCGCTCGCCGGTCGTCTCAATGGCGCCGCCCTCGGGAGCGTGCCGTAGCCAGGTCACATCGCGCACAAGCCGCGGCGCGTCACGCGCCACGCGCCCAAGCAGCTCGGGCCCCGTGATAGACCACGGTGTCGAGCCGTAGTCCCGCGCGAGGCAGACGGTGACGCTTCTTTCCAGCGCGGCGGCGAAGAATGGGTGGCGCGGCTCTCGTACCGCCAGGAAGGCGTTGAAGACGCCGTAGTCCATCCCAAAGCCAGGCCGCTCGCGCACGAGGCCGAGGCTCGCGCCGGAGGGCAGCAGCACGTCTAGCGGTCGGAGCAGCTCGGTCGTGAAGTCCATCCAGATTCCTCCGCGGTCGTGCAGTATGGCGAGGCGGAAGAGGTCGGCGCGGTACGCCCACGGCCTGAGCGAGGCGTAGCACTTTCGGAGCCTTTGGTTGTGGTGGTTTTCAAAGTAGGCGTCGAGTTGGTCGTGTGTGAAGAGTGTGGTGGTCCACGAGGTTGGCAGTAGCTTGTTCGTCCGCGCGTGCGCCGGGTGGCTTGCGTTGGTCGGTGCCGACCTATAGACCACCGGGTTTGGCCACTGGTCGACCCTTATGGTGGCCTGTAAGATGTAGGTCTTCCTCGGCGGCACATTCATCTCTGGCCGCAAACCCCGGAAAGTAGGTCAAAAATGACCACCGCACTGTAAACACTTATCTTAGCTAAGGCTCGCGCCCTGACGTGTAAGTGCTCATGTGCACCGAGCCCATATACGCACCTGCATGTGTGGACGCGAGTATTAACTAAGATGAGCGCCCACGCATGA